GTAGGGACGTTATGAGTTGCAACTGACTTGATGGCATGCACCAGAAGCAATCTCTACTGAATTTCTTACATATTCAAGATCTCTCCACCTTGGCTGATGAGAGCTCAGAAAATTCCCAGTACTGCATGAGCCCTGGGAAGTGTCAGCTGGGTAATTATTCCTCCTACAGAATTTACAACTTGCCTGATCTCGTGAGGCTTCAATCTGTGCACTCCCAGATCTGAATTCAGCCAAAAGCCCCAGGGGACACCTACACAGTTTTCTCGAGGTCTTGATCTAGGCAGTTTTCTTTTACTGGATTTGTTGTTGTTGTTGTTGTTAATTGTTGTGAAGTTGAGTCTGGCTTATGGTGACCCAACATAAATACTCTGTCTTCAAAATTCTGCTTTTGCCTTCAAGTGTCCTGTTCCATGTCTCTTTTATTTAGGTTCTTTCTCCCTCACCCTCAGTCTGGAAATAACCTCTAGGCAGAAAGTCTTGTTTCTGTGGAACTAAATTCATTTGTTATCCTCCTTCTTGGGGATCACAGTCTTATACTGTCTGCTTCTCAGTGTCTGAAAATACTTGTTACTGTTGGTTTTGCAGTTTTTTTTCTTTGTTTTGCAAGGATAATTTCAAATCCTCTTCCTCCCTCCTGACTAGAAGCAAAAGTTAATATAATCAAATGTCCAAGGACAAGAGTAAAGAATTCATATTCAAATAGAAGCACCTTCTCAAAATCTAGCTTGTTACATTTGGGAAATGTGGGGTTCTGATCGTATATCAATAATAGTGAATGCTAGTGGAGAAAAGTATAATAAGCAAATAATATTTATTGAAATATAAGGGAGACAGATAGTTGCTAGAATAAGTGCCTAATGTGGACAAAGGCAAGAGCATGGAATATGTATACAACTGAAATGATTTGCCTTACATAAAATTATGAACACTTCACAGACATGATTATGGGAAGCAAAGTATTAGAGTTTTAAGAGAAGAGAACTTATAAATGATGGTCTAGGAAAGTTGAATAGTGCATGAACTAAGGAAATGTAGTATGATTTCCAGCAGTAGTAAAGGGCAGCTACAGGCTACAACAGTAAAGGGCAGCTACAGGCTAGCTGTCATGAATGTTAAGTGTTAAATGAGAACAAAACTGTTGTTTCACCAACCACCATCAGGAATGCAGCTACAGATCCAAGAGAGGTGAAGAGTCAAGTATAGTTAATGTTTGATCTTGGGGCTCCAGAATCATATGGCTTGTATTTTGCTTACTTATCTAATAATTCATGTATTCATTACATTTCATAGTATTGTGGTTCTGTAGGCTATGCACTGGACTGCTAACCACAAGGTCAATGTTTCAAACCCATCAGTAATTCCACAGAAATCCTATATAGGGTTGCTATGAGTCAATGACACTTAGCAAAAATAATAACAACCTTTCACAGATTTTCATGGTGCCTGGTGTGGCACTGTAGGATAAGCAGCAGACTGCTAGCAACAAAGTCAGGAGTTCAAACTCACCAGCCACTCCACAAGAGAAAAATAAGATCTTCTATTTCCATAAATTCTTACAGCCTCAGAAACCCTAGGGTCACTATTATTCTACTAGAACCGACTAGATGGCATTGGATTTGGCTTTATAGTATAAAAGACATTATCTCCAAGGTAAAGCACTGGACTGCAAGGTCGATTTAAACCACAGGGTCAGCAGTTCAAACTCACATGCTCTTCCTATATCTCTTTTAGTTAGGTTCTTTCTCCCTCACCCTCAGTCTGGAAATAACCTCTAGGCAGAAATTCTTGTTTATGTGGGGCTAAACTCATTTGTTATCCTCCTTCTTGGGGATTACAATCTTATACTGTCTGCTTTTCAGTGTCTGAAAATACTTGTTACTATTGGTTTTGCAGTTTTTTTTCTTTGTTTTGCAAGGATAATTTCAAATCTTCTATACATGGTCGCGATGAGTTGGAACCAACTCAACAACACTTAATAACAATACATAAGGTAAAGCAAACCACATCTTGAATTATTCAGTTATCTTTTTTTATGTTCAATGATCTGTAGCCATCTACTGTGACTTGAAATATGTTCAAATATCATGTTTCAAACTCAATATTTTTAGAATTTTATTACATAATTCTCAGAATTTTTTACTTTCTCATTTTGACTTGATTTGTCTCCAAGGGGGTAGGAGAACCCAAGAAAAAAATAGACATACTTTGTTTCTGATAGTTTCCTGATAGTTTGCTTCTAACACTATCCTGACACTATCCTGAAGGCACATGATGTTATCTGTAAAGCTAGTGTAATTTTATTTTCAGCAAGACAGTATTATCCTTAATCCATACTAAAACTGTGTCATTAAACATTCATACAGAGATTGTTGTGCTATTACATTCTCATTCATTTTTAACTGGTTTCTAGATAGCAGAAATCTACTATACAATGATTTTGAAATATCAAGGGACACAGCTTCCTCAGTTATTATAACATTACACATTCTAAAGATTCTTATCTCATCAATGCCTGTAGGAGTGATTGTAACACAAAAGTCTCCAGGCTGTTTCTCTATCACAAGAAGTGTCTTAAAAATCAAGACATTTTATAGTTTATTTCTAATTTAAGGAAAGTTCATCATTTGGGAGGAAGACTTCAAGTCATAATCCTATCTCCATGCTCTTGCCATGCTTTTAACTGTTAAACTATCTTTAAATATCTAAACGTATAAAGTACTATCAATGCACTGATAGATAACATTATACAAGAGAGCTTCAAAGAGTTGATGAAAAAAGTTGAATTAAAAGACAATGGAATTTTTCCAGGAACTTTTTGAAGCTGCCTCATATATCAGGACTTGAACCAAATGAAAAATAAAAACCAAGAAGTTATTTCATAAAGTAAAATCCTACCAATATCCACACTTTCTTCATAAATCATCTTCCTACTTTTCTAAAGTCATAAATTACAGAAATATACTAAATCTCCCAAGCCCCTCAAGGACAAGACCTATGTTCTCACTAACAAAGAAAAGCTATTCTTCTTGGATAGAATTCTCTTTTAAAATAAAAATCAATTCTCAAATTCTAAAGAACCACATAGTTTGAGAGCAGAAACAGGCCAGTGCATTCTTCACGTTAAGTAGTTTTCACTTTTACTGCTTTGACTGCCTTCCTGTACACATATTGAATTGTGTCCTACTCTCTCTTTTTAAATGTTGCACTAAAAATTTAACACAATTACCTAGAGAGGTTCTAACAAATATAGTCAGACCAGTGGAATTATTCACTTCTTTTGTATTGAACCCTCTCCTGCAATCTAAATAATGCCTTTTTCATATTTGACAACAACATCATAATTGGGTCACATTTTGAGAAGGTGCTGCCATTTCAACATAATCGCTCCACTCTTACCATTATGAAATTGATTATATAAACTTAGTTCAATCTATTTTATCTTTCACTATTAAAGTTCCTATTATTAAGAGCAGTATTACAGTTAAATCTTTCCACTTCCATTATATTCATATATTTTTGCTTTCATTCACAAGTATAATAATTAGATCTTTAATTTATTGATTCACTCCAGACATATTTATTAGGGGGTTTTTTGAGAGTTTTAGGCACTACCAACCACACAGATTAAGGGGGATCAGTGGTTCAGTGATAGAGCCCTCACCTTTCCTGTGGATAGCCCAGACAGATGCAGTTCCCATCACATGCAGCTATTCCCCATTGGTCAGTGGAGGCTCAAGTTTCTTTGTGGCGCCAAAGAGAGTCCAATGGAACTTCCAGACTAAGACAAACAGGGAGGAAGTGCCTGGCAATTTACTTGTGAAAATTGGCCAGTGAAAACCCTGTGGATGACAATGGTCTGGTCTGCAACCATTCATGAAGGTGACACAGTACTTACTGAACAGTGTTTCATTCTGCTCTGCATGAGGTAACCATGAGCTAGGGACCAACACAAGTGCAGTTAACAAAAACAGATACATATAGAAGCCAAGATGGCAAGACTTCTCTCTCATACTTTGGACATGTTATCAAGAGGGGCAGTCTCTGGAAAGGGCTTCATGCTTGGGAAAGAGGAGGATCAGCGAAAAAGAAGAAGACTCCCAAGAAGATGACTGACACAGTGGCAGCAGCAATGGGCTCCAATGTAACAACTGTGAGGCGGGCACAGGACCAGGTGGTTTACATTCTATTGTGTATAGGGTCACTATGAATCAGAACTGACTCAGTGTACCCAACAACAGCAGCAACCACCACAGTAGATAATACAGTAGACTGAAGAGAGAAGCTTCATTATGCAGCTCATGCACCAGCACTTCTGCAAACTCGCCCTTATCCCCTGAGGACAAGTGAAGTGCTCTCATCTGTGCTCCGGCTGCTCAACTTGCTCAGAATCCAGTGTGCAAGCTCTTAGCACACAGCACTCAGCATAACACAATTCACCTATAATTCGTCTTCTTCCTTACTGCATGCTAAGTCCTTGTCTTTTTCACTTTAACACCCTACTCAACAAGCACTGTGTCTGGATTTCAGTACTTTTTTGAAGAAATATTTGCTAAACTGGTGAACAGAGACCTGGAGCAGGATAGTCATGCACACAACAAGAATCTCTCTCCAGCTTTAGTGTAACTAAACATTATTATTTGTCTTATGCTATTAGTTGATGAGTTCATGAGCTCTAAATTCAGATAATCTTCTATATTCTATATTCAGATAATCTAAATATATTCAGATAATATATTTCTATATATATCCATAGAATTTTCTTGGATATATAGTACCTTCACCTTTTTCTCAAGACTATTCTAAAGAATGCCTCTTAACTCTGCAAAATCATCTCGCTCTGCCACGTCTCTAGGCTCTTGCACATGAGTTTCTCAGCATTCCCTTAAATGGCTGACTCTTATCCTCAACTCTCTGGTTATCTCTTTCCCGGGAAGTCTTCCCAGACATTTTTTGGACAAGGTTGGCTTTATCTTCTTATATAACATCTTTCATTTCCTCACCATAATCCACTGTGTTGCAAGTACTAGTTTTAATTGTCTTGTCTTCTACGGTCTCACCTTCATGAGAGCTAATATCAAGTTTATCATCCTCATCTTCCATCCTTAGTTACTTGATTTTTGATTAATTTATAACCCAGGAAAGAGGCAGAGGGCAATTTGAAGATATGTGCCAAGTACAGATTCAAATGAAGGGGCTATGGTAGCGTAATGGTAACGAATCGGGCTGTTAACCTCAAGGTCAGCAGTTGGAAACTACCAGCTGTTCTGTGGGAGAAAGATGAGGCTTTCTGCTCCTGTAAAGATTTATAGCCTCATAAACCCTATTCAGGGTCACTATGAGTTGGAACCAACTCCATGGTACTTAACAACAACAACAACAACAGATTCAAATACTTTTTGTCAGCTGGAACAGGTCATGCTTTTGTAATCAATATTGTTTCAAGCACAGTAACCTTTGCTAAAATTATTTTTAATAGTTGATTACACAGAACTATTCAAATGTTCTTTTAGCACCTTATTGCTTTCTCGTTAATGAATTGAATAAAATAACTGTCACTTTTTAAGTTATATTTGCCTAACATTTATGATTTTACCTTTTCAAAAATCGTCCTTTAAAAATAAAGAAATAGAATCAGGAAGACTTCATATTTTTCTCAAGGATTCAGAGCTAATGCTTAACCAAGTTTTAGACCCAGGTATGTCCAAATCTATTATTACACTTCCCAAATGGATCAGTGCTTACAATGTTTTGACTTCCTACCAAATTCCAATTATTCATACCAATAGCATCAGGATATATTATCAATCATGTGCAAGGCACAATATAGCAACTTGATTTAACCAGTAATTTCTGACATTCATGGACAAAGGGAATTGAAGAAGATACGGATATGGTTCTTTTAAGAAAAAGTGTATTGAATGTTTACTTTTTCCAGGTCCACTGTTGTATTTTATAAGGATTATCTATCATTCATTTAATAGTTACAGCAACCCAGTTAGGTTGGTACATTGTCATACTAATTTTATGAGTAAGGAATCGGGAAGTTTGACTTGGTTGAGTACCTGCCTACCTCACACAACTGGTGCTTGGTAAAGTCAGGTTTAAATGCAGTTGATCTATTCTTTAAAATTATACATGTGACCAGGAGACTCCAAGACTGACTGGAGGTTTTTGCCACAAAGGCAGAGCAGAGCAAGTTGAGCTGATGCTCATACCACCATAAGACTGATGATGATAAACTAACACAAGGAAAAAAAGCATACATAGGGGAAGAAACAGATGCAACCGAGATACACACATCAGAGGGCTCCTTTCCTAAATTATGGATGTATTTCCAAGCACACATGGAATGTTTCTGGATGGTCACAGGTTTGATGATGAGAATAAGGAAGCAGTAGGTTAAAAGAAAAAAGGAGACTGAGGATCTGGAAAGAAAATCTTTTAGTTTAGAGCTAGCATCAGTACGGGGGGAGGGTGGGGAAGCAAGTAGAGAGGAGCAACTTCTACTGCCAAAGAGGGGGAGGGAAAACTGAACAGAGTTAAGACAGAGCAGGAGTCCTGGTATGGTGTTGTGGTTAATGCACTGGACTGCAAAGTCTGTAGGAACTGCAAAGGCAGTGGTTTGAGCCCATCAGCCACTCCCTGGAAACCCTATACAAGGTCTCTATGAGTTGAAACTGACTCAACAGCACTTAACAACAAGAAGATAAAGCAGGGGAGAGTAGTGGCTTCATATGAGAAGCAATGGTCTGCAAACTACAGGGTCCCCGGTTGGAGCCTGGCAGCATCTCCACAAGAGAAGCATGAGGTTTTCTGCTCCTGTAAAGGGTTTCCTAGGCAAAGATTTAAAGCTTAGTAAACCCTACACAGGGTCGCTATGAGTCAGAACTGAGTCCACATCATTTAACAACAATAAGATGAAGCGGGACGGGTGGGATAAATACCTAAGGGAGGGCACACAGAAAAGAAAGAAGTTATCTTTTTTCCTAAGTCAGGAAGAAAGAAAAGAGAATAGTAAAATTGTAAGCATATGAGTAATTAAAGGCAGAGGAGACAGTGTTTGGGCAGGTAGCAAGAGGTGTGGGGTGGAGGGGGTTGGATAAAGAAGTTCTTACTCCATTTCCTCAACCTACTAAAGAAAACAGGAGACAAGGTAACGTGCCAAGGATGAGAAAATTTGAGATTGATTGGAAAGGACAGGATAGAGCAGCCACTCAAGTGGTACATTAGGTGGTGAATGTGAAGTCAGTGGGAAGACTGTTAAGTAGCAGAGGGTGCAGCAGCGCTGTAACTTTGTCCAGCAATGAAGTCTGAGGCTGGACTGGAGAGAGAGACAGGCGTGAGATACTGTACTGGGGATGTTCATGGCAGTCACAAGGCAAGGAAAGCAAGTCTAATACTGGAGGTTACCCACCAAGAAGCACCCCTGAAATGCCAGACCAGGACATTCAGGCAGAGCAGCGCCCATGATGTTGTTGTTGTTGAGTGCTGTTGAGTTGGTTCCAACTCATAACAATCCTGTATAGGGTTTCTGAGCAGTGTCTGGTGAGCATGAACCACCGACCTTGAGGTTCAAACTGACTTTGCAGTCCAGTGCATCCAGCTGAAGCGCCAGTCCATGACATGTCCTTCTAAGGCTCTAAGTTAGTCTATACTTCCACCAGCACAGCTTTCATTACAAAGGGCCATGACTGGTCTGTTTGTATGTTAATCCCCACTTGTCTATATGCAATCGGGGGCATGGGTTGTGACTCATTTCTCATCCCTTTATCTACAGCACTCAGTACCATACCTGCCAAACATGAACTAAGAAATCAGTAAAGAATTGCTGTCTGCTTGAACTTTGACCAACCACACTGTAAGCATTCTAGCATTTATGCTATTATAGTTCTTGTGGCAACTTCTTGCCTAGGATTTTTACTTTCTAGAGGATCTGACTCTCATTATCTGTACATATCCCGACTCTAGCCTGCTTACTTGGCATACTTGTTCTAACATTTCAGACTGCGTGTCTGATTCCAAAACCATTCTTTTCTCTTAGTTACTGTTTTCCAGGTATCTCTATCCCAGATCAAGGCTTAAATTCACTATAAATACTGTTAAATCTGTGCTTATCACTGATACAAGGCAGTAACGTCAACACAATATGGAAAGAAACCACCTTGCTGACGAGTAGACAGTATCAGGAGACAGAGGCAAACAGGTTAGACTTAGAACCAGGAGAGAGCTTCCAGCATCTGGCATTGGTCAAGAGAACAGAAACAAAGTTCAGAAATAAATCTAAGGTTGAGAACCAGAAGGTCAATGAGAGAACAAACAAACAAACAAAGTGGAGTTGAGGGTGCCAACAAGGAAATAGATTACAAAGAATAAACTAATGTTCTGGGTGAGAGGAGATAGTTCATTACTAATATTCTGCATATTCAAAAAGCTCAGCTGTGGACCATGCAGCTTTAGGGGGACCAACAAGGAGGCAAAATTAAATTTATGCCCCAAACTGTATTCATGCCAGTTGTAAGGAGTCCTTTTGGTGCTGTAGGATAAGCACTGAAATGTTGACCAAAAGGTCAACAATTTAAAATCTACAGGAGAAAGATGAGGCTTTCTGCTCCAGTAAAAATGCACTGCCTCTGAAACTTTATACTTTATACCGTGTCACTATGAGTCAGAACCAACTTAATGGCACTTTGTTTGGTTTGGGGTTTTGATTATTATCAGAGGACCTATGAATTTAGAGTTTTTCTAATATTCAGGGTTAAAGAAAAATGTATTCAATCAACATGTATTAAATACCCACATCCCTGGGAATAGTTAGGACTTTAAGAAAGGCATAGTCACTGCCTTCAATAAATTGACAATTATCTTAGTTATCAAGAGCTGCTATAGCAGAAATACAAGTGGATGGCTTTAACAGCAGAAATTTATTCTCTCACCATTTAGGAGGCTAGTGGCTAGAAGTCTGAATTCAAAGCACTAGCTCTGGAAAAAGGTCCTTACCTCCTTTCCATCCCTATCACCCCAACATTCCCTGGAGATATCCATGTATCTTGGTATTAATCTTCCTCTAGATCTAGAAACTTCACAGTGTAAGTACCCCAGGTCCAAAGGACCCATTCCACTCTTTGTTCTTCTTTATTGCTGGTAGTAGGTACAACTTCTTGATCACTTCTCTCGCATTTTATCTCTTGTATGATGAAAGGAGTTGCGGGCTACACCCCTAAGGAAACTTCCCTTCAACTGACTGACTGGTTGTTCATAGCAGAGCATATACCACAGCATATACATCTACTATAATGCAATCATCATGGAAATGGTTACATTATATCAGATTTCATTGTGGAGGATTGCTACGACTTAACCACTAAACTACTGAGAATCCTGGTCCAGTCAGGTTGTCTCAAAACCTTAGCCATCACAACAGTCTAAAGAGGAGGAGGTATGCATGAAAATACTTTGGGCAGAGGAAGCCACAGATGGTAAAACAGAAAAGAAGGTGAACCTTTTCTGTCAAGAGGGTTTAAAAAAGGTTACCAGAGCAGGAAAACTAGAGTGTGTCCTATAAAATGATAGGAGTACATTGGTAGGAAAGGTCTTTTGGTATAAAGAAAAGTACATCTCAAAAGATGCCTCTATGAAAATCATATTTAATAAATTGTGAGTATTTAAGCATGCTTGGCATACTAAGGAACAATCACAGAATATCAGAAGAGGTTCAAACAGTAAGCAAAGAAGAGATGACTGCAGCCCTTGCTTACCATGATAAGACATTTTCTACATTTGCTGTAAGTAGCAACAAAAGTTTCCATATATGGAGAAGATGAAGGAATATGAAATTTGTAGTCAAGGGAATAAAGAACTATTGGGAAGCATTACATTTGTACAGTTACTAATGGGGTGATATATAGATTCCTGTGATATTTCATAAAACCAAAGAACAGTTAATTTGTGGAATTTAAACAGTAGAATCTTTTATTTCATTGGAGCTCTCCAGTAACTAAATGATGTTTTAAGTGAGCTTCTAATCTTGAGACGTATTAAAGTAGAGGTTATTGAGTTTGACTATAGAAGGAATGATAGCAATAAATTATTTTAGAAATAGA